AACAGAAATTATTATTTTGAAACAAACCTCTGCTAATTAATACCATATTTCCAGTACAGGCATCTCTGGTAAATTTGCTCAAATTCTAAAATAAGTTTCAAAGTTTTCCAAGAACACATACTATTAATAGTGTCCATGGTTTTATTCAAACTCAAAAGATTAAGTTATGTATACTTCCAAAGGGCTACTTCTGCCAAAGAACAAAACTACATGTACTAAGTGTTCTAAATTGCTGTAAAAGATATACCACCACCTGCCTGTGTAGGTAGTGTACACATTAAAGGTACTCAAATACTTTTTGAATGAAAGAGAAAACATTAAGACATCTCAAAAATGGGAACAACCTTCTAAAGATAATGCTCAACAGGTACCAGGTATTTAAAATACTGTCAATATTTCCTATCACTAGCATTGAGGTAAATGAGAACCTTGACATTTCAACATTAGAAACCCTTCCCTCCCCACTTCATCGCTCTTAGCAAAGAACACTTGATGTACAGTCGCTCACTTTCTCTAAAGTGAATCACTTTAAATGCCATGAATCACTAAGCAGTGACATTTTATTAGTCCGTGTCCACTTGTTAAGGCTAGTCACAGTGTCATTAGTCATCATTACAAGTTTGAAAAGGAAATGAACTTTCAAAGTCTGTGGTCATGCAATACCAGATATTAGCTTTAAATAGATGACAAGCATTTGAAGGAATTACCATATAATGAGAACATATGCTACCAAGAAACACTTCCCTTAAAATGCCTATACTTACTTATTTTAGGGGGCTGAAAAAGTCATTGCGGAGCTGAAATGATAGCCAAACAAGTAGCTAGTCTTTCAAAACCCCAAAAGAAGTCTATGGAATGAAATGTCTAGGCATTTTCCAGGAATACAATAAGATAAATCAGTTTCCCACATTTTATAAGCATCACTAGGGTACTTACCCAGGCCTCTCTCTCAGGGTTTCAGATCCAGTGAGTCTGTGGGGAGGCCTGGGAATCTGTATTTTTAACAAGAACCTCAGATGATTCTTATCTGGGAAGTTTGGCAAATACAAGGATAAAATGTCTGATGTGTCATGGTAAGATGCTTCATCTTCCTGAGCTTACTCATCTCTTTTTCATTCACAATGCAATCAGGCAACAAAATACTTAACAACTAAGTTTTTAAAATCATAAGACAAATTCAAACTATCAGCCCTACTTAAGAAAAGAGATTTGTACACAGAACTAAATGAAAAGAGGGTGCAGGTGGGGCAGATATTTTTCAGCAGAAATGTGCATAAAGAGACCAGTGAATTAAAGACCCATTCATGTGCGCGTAATGGTTAAGTTTATTTTTGCTTAATGGCAATACTGGACTTTGCTCATTCACTTGGGAGGACAGGATTAAAGCTCCTCACCCTATCTCTCTCTACTACAATTACTGAAATGGATTTAAAGACAAATGTTATTTCATTTGTACCTGAATTCCATTACAAAGTGTTTCCTATTAGCTAAGAAGCCCACACTCCTATGAAATTGAGTAAAATTAATTAAATTTTATTTGATATTCAGTCACAGAGCAGGAAAGGTCACCAAGGGGTTTTAAGCAAATGGTCTTGCTCTCCATCCATTCCATCTCTTCCAATGATTCTGGGCCTTCCCAGCATTACTTATTCATGCTGCTCCCAGAAGAAAATGCTACTGACGAACTGGGGTCCTGCATCTTCTGAGATGCCATGTCAATTTCCCTCTGCACCCTTGCATGCATCACAATATATTTAGTTATACAAGGTTCAGCTTTAAAATATTTCAATTGAAAATCATAACTCCTTTGACTCTCAGAAGTAGGTGTTGTCACAGCATCAATTCCAGGTGAGCTGAGGTGAGATTTTAACTTAACCAGAATAAACATCTCCAGTAGGGCACAGGTTATGTGACAAAGTGAAATGTAGATGTTTTTTTTTTTACTCTAATTGTCGAAAAATTATAAGGCATAACTAATTTCCCCCATAATGAGTCAGCCTGTTTTCCTCTATTTGGCGAGTAGCAGGTTCCCCATATCTTTAAATTTCTGAATTTAAAATATCTTTAGATAAAACAATTCTTCTTACATGTAGGTTTGGCAGATGGAGAAAATTTTGCTTTGACAGCAACATCTTTGTTGAATTACAAAACTGCTGAGGTTACAAGTAATTGCTGCTGAAGTGAGAGGAAAACATTAACTCCCAACTGCTGCTCCACTTGACTGTGGTGTTGGGAGGGGGCAAGAAAGCTTTGTAATAAACGCCGGTCTCTTTCTGGAAAAAGAGCTGTGTGAAGGTACGCTATCAAAAACCCCTTACATTTTGTACAAATGATTCCCAAAGCATTTTCACTTACATTAGTTTAATTTGATGCGGAACAGGCATACAAAGCCCGCGGTAGTGCTTCGGGATGTAATACCGAAGGGAAACAAACACTTCTGGGTCATCTGAGCCCTGCAAGGCCCCTTGGCTTTTATAATTCAACAGATTTTCCAGTCTGGTAACTGGAAGGTTAAATTATAGAAGAGCTTTATGGATTAGGCACCTGGACTAGCTCATTATAAATAAAGATTTGTTTTAAGTCCCCCTGTGATCTTTAATTCACCTCCTTAGAGTTGACAAAGAATTTATTTATTTNTGCAGAACCAGGTACTTGAGAAACCTAGCTTAAATAATAGCTCCAATATTGATAAGCTCTGTGATGCTGAGATAGTTATTCAAATTCTGTGTGCTCTGGTTTCTTCCTTTAGAAAGTGGCAAAATAATACCTATGTTGGTAGGATGCTGTGAAGGGTAATGTAAAATAATACTAGCACAGAGCTTCGCAAATAATGAGGTTCCAGTAAATAGTACCTATTATCAATGCCACCTTAAAACATGGCACTAAAACAACACTCTGCATTGGACAAGGGGAGTGTTCTCAAAGTATGGCCCCCTACAGCAGAATCATCTGGGAATGCTTGTTTAAAGCAGATTTCTGGAAAAATACCTGGTGAATTAGAATTATTGGGACAAGACCCAGAAGTCCACAATAACAAGCAAGCACCCAGGCTCCCCCTCTGCATCAAAGTCTGGGAAACACTGGACTAGGGCCTTGGGCAGAGAGCTTCCTGTCAGTGAACACAAGTGTATCGGGGAGAGCCTGGGAGAGCTGAACACTAATTTAATGCCAACAATTTTCTGCTAACAAGAGTGAGTGAGTGCCACCTACTGCCTCCTTTTAGAATGCAACGCTGACACGGGTTCAATTCCTCTCTCAGCAACTGAATTCATTCTGAAAAATGAATCATCCTAAACAAAATATCCAAGCAACAGAAAACGTGGTTAGAAGGAGACACAAAACAGTCTTTATTAAACTAGAAGAAAACTGTCTGAGTTAAAGGGGTTTTGGAGTTTTAGATTAATATATCCAATAAACTCCTGTAATTTCAAGTCACTGCTAAAACAGTAAAGGAAAATACAATCCTTCACCCAAGTGGCCTATACCAACAGTGGAAGGGAAGAGAGAACCACAGAATGCCCTAAAGTAGGGCAACGAAACAACATGCAGTTACGCTCATCTCCACCATCCCTTCCCCTACAGCCAAGAGCAAATCAAGTGCAACGAGGACAAGCTTTCTTATCCTGCAACACTCCACTCAAGTCCAAGAAGAAAACTCCACCTGCAGCAAAGTTAATATTCCCTTCAAAAGGTACTCAGAAAAGTCTTTTGAATTACAGTCTGTTCCTATGTTTAAAGCTGATTTCCCTTTATAAGTTGCAAATGCATAAAATATTCCCAGATGCTGAAGAGATGTACCACCTTATAAATACTCATAAANGCCCTCATTTGTATTTCTTGATTGGACTCACAGGATCTGTCCATGTCCATGATTTTTTTCCCCTCCAAAGAACCAAGAGTTAGGAGTGTTCTATTATCAAGTAGATTGTTTAAATGTACTTGAAGAACAAATTTTTGGTTTTAGGGCAACGTAATTTTAAAAAGTGGTCTGTGTAATTATTTTTTGGGAGAATGTACTGAGGTCTTTGTGATAAGCCTAGAATTGATCTTACATGTTCTTACAGTCATTTGAAATGGATAGGTAGTCTCTGTAAATTAGTTTGAAATATTTATCACAGCTATTATTACGTCAAAAAACATCTCAAATCTCAGTGACATTTTTAAACAATAGGAACTTATTATTCTTCATGAGTCTATGAGGTGCTTATGGTGGTTTTTCTAGTCTCAACAGAGCTCATTCATGCTTCTGTAGTCAGTTTTTGGTTGAGTAGGCAGCTGTGCGGATGTAGGCTGGGCTTACTCACATGTTCAGTGGTTGGCTGGCTGTAAGCTGGGAACCCACAGCTCTCTTCCATATGGTCTCTCATCCTCCAGCACATTAGCCTGGGCTGTTTACATGGTAGAAGCAGCGGTCCAAGAGGAAGCTAGCAAGGCCTAGGCTAAAAACCTGCAAACTCTCACTTCTGCAACGTCCTGTGGGCTAAAGAAGTCACAAAGTCAGCCCAAATTCAAGATGTTGAAAGATTCCACCTCTTAATAAGAGGAGCTGCAAAGTCACATTGCAAAGAGCATGGATACAGGGAAAGAGAGAAAACAGATAAACAAATTTAAATTAGAATTTCTTACCCTGGGGTCCACTATGGATACTGGGAACTTATAGGTGACCTTCAGGAGGTTCAGTAATGTTCTCAAATTGACTGCAGACTGTGTTCCTCCATAAGTTCATTTAACAACTCTTTTAGGTTCATTTAATGTCTTTTCCTTAAATTTCACTTTGTTTGATATTAATACTATCATCCCTTACTTTCCAGAGTGGAATTTTTATGAGTCTCCTTGGGCTGTAATTGAAAATAATTCATTCACGTTTCTACTGGACAAACATAAAAAATGTTTTCAGTGCACAAGTATGATTCACTCACCAATATTTCCTCTCTGCCATTCAACGTATTTGTGATACCATAACAGATACACCCTAAGTTATATGTTAACTGAGTAGGCTGGTTTGACTTAAGAAGGTAAAAATCTCTCATGCAGAGATCTGATCCTAGACAGTTACTTCCGAGACAGAGGATAAGAAGAGATGCCCATTCCTAGAAGTGTTAATAATGTCACCTACGCAATTTTCTCCTGCTTCGGAATCTGTCTGGAGGTTCAACACTCCAAAAACATTTCCCGTTTTAAACCCACACATGTGGTGAGCTTAATTAACTAAAATTGTTATTCCAACCTCTGTATTAAAATGAAATGCATGGGGGAAAATCTAATTTTTTTAATCACTTACAGAAAAACACGCCCATTTTATTTTATGATATTTGCAGTATACTTTAGTGCCTTTCCCCTGGGACTTAGCACGACCCTTATAAAGTTTGGTAAATCTGGGTCAGCTCCAAAGACAGTACATCCCCCATCTGCATCCCACATCCCATGTACATCTTATCTTGTGGAAGGATGAAGTGGTCCTAATGTTTATACTGTTAAAAACAAAACCCAAGTTAGCATTCTGGTAACACAACTCTTTACTAATCCATATGACATGTGTCATTTTTACCCTTTCCCCCTCATTCTATCGCTAAGGAAATAAACTTTCCCCCAAAAAAGCAGTAACTATTTTTCAGGGCACCCCGATGTCTGTTCCCATAGCCCTGGCCAGCGACTTTCTCGTAACATTCAGCACAGTAAACACTTGCAATTACTGATTTACAGTGTTTTTCCCATCCATGTGTGAGCTCCACAAGTGGGGCAGTTTCCTTTCACTGCCTGGAGCCTCAGCTCCAGGCATATAATGGTTGCCAAATAAATTATGCATTGTAGAAAAAAACAAGAGCTAAACGTTTTTTCAAATAATCTATCATATGTTAAAAGTCAGGATAATGGTTACCTTTGGGGAAAAGAGGTGGGTAGAGACTGGGAGGGGCCATGAAGGGGACTTCAGGGCTGTTGTCATGTTCTGTTTCTGCAGCTGGTTACTTGGGCATGTTCATCAGTTGATCAGTTATTAAGCCATACACTTGTGATTGGTGCACTTTC